ATTGTGTGTTTTCTATGCGTGAGATTTTTTAAATACTGAATTCCTTTAAATAGTATTTGGATCTCTAGTTGTCTCATAATCCCATTGTGCTGTTTATGACCATGCAGCCCTGACCTGCAGCTGTTGTGATGCTGTGATCCCACCACAAATAGGCTGGCTCTGTTCTGCTGTGGGCTTGCATGGCTAGCCAAATTTTGTGGTTCTTCTTTTTTGTGGTTTCTTCTGCCATGTAGAATCTTCACTTGTGAAATTATTTTTCTTGAAGAGATCCCCTAAATTTTTTCCCAGGAATTCTTAGAATCAGTTGTGAACAATTTGAAGAAGAAAATGAAAATTGCAAACCACAGTATAAATAAGGAAAGATGAGCAGAAGTGATTCAGAGATTAATAAAACTTTGTGAGATACTAGAAGAGTATTTAGATTGTGTCATTTTTATATGGTTGAAAAAATGAGGTAGAAAACATCAGAGTGGGATTTCAGAGGATTTTCCTTTTATGCCTTCACTTATGACAAACACTACTGGCTTTATCACACGATTATTGGGAGCTTTTTCTTGGAACTTGGATTCTACAAGCTTTGTATGTCTGTGTGGCATGGAGTGACCTGAGCTCTGGGCAGTCATTTCTGGCACCGTTCCTCCCAGGATTTTGTCCTTTTGGTTCCTTGTGCAGGTTTTCCTCTGTTTCCAAAGCTGAGGCTGCCCCTGCTCCACCTCTGCCTCCTCACTGCAGCCAGCTGCCCTGGGTGCCCAGCTGAGGAGCTTGATGCCACCTCTTTGTCTGCTTATAAAAAGTCATTGCTGCTTGAAGAGAAAGCCTCACATGGTGCTGTGGTGGCATTGTGCATTTTGTCTTTAAAAGAGTTGTATCTGAACATTAGGTGAGTGGTAAATGCATTATTTCTATTCAGATGTTACAGTGAAAGAACTAATTTATTACTTTAATTAGTTTGTAGTGCACTTTACATTATTGTAATATGCAATATTGAAATAATGAACTGAAAAAGGTGTGTATGCATTCTGTTCAGCACAGCAATTTAATAATTCACTTGGCAAAACCTCCTCTAATAATACATGAACTGTGAAATGTACTTGAAATGCCATTTGTAATTAAAAACTTTCAGAACCTAATGTTGGCAGTGCTTGTACTGCTAAAATGAAAACACTTTTATGGAACAGGCAATGGGAGAGCCAGGTTTCAGTGTACTTTCAATATCAGTTTAACTACTAGGATTTTTTAAAAAATATTTAAATAAAATATTTACTGTTGACACAGTAAAATATACCCTTCTGATTTTGAACTCCTAGGAATGGAAGAGTGCAATCAAGAACACATTAATTTTTTTTGTGTGGTCCCAGACTGCTGCTGTAGTGAAGCAGAATTATTGTTTGGGAGGCTTTTTGCTCTCCAGACCTGCATGATCCTGCCTCTGGAGATGAAATCCTGATGAGTGCAGCAGGCTCTCTTGGCACACTTCAGCCGTGGGGATGCAGTTCAGCATCAGGGGTCCCTTCTGGGCAGCAGAGCACCAGGAGCCAGGAGATGCTCCCTGCAGAGCTTGCCCAGCCCTGGTGCTGTCCCCTGGTGGGGCTGCCCAGGGCAGGAAATGCAGGTCAGGCTCTGCCCTGCCTGTCTGACCACGAGCCACAGTCCAGATCCTCATTTCTGACCTGACACCACATGGACAGGACTGGTTTGGGAACCTCTCCTGACACCTCCTGAGCATGTGGATTCCCCTGCCTGGTGCACAAAGTGATCTGGGGCTGTGAGACTAGAACTGCTCTCTAGCACAGAGGATTTTAATGTTCAAATGTGGTTTAAAGTTGAAATATACTGGTATTTGAATCACCTGGTTAATGTCTAATTTTTGTTACTTCTTGGACTTCACTCTAACTCTGCTCTGTTAAAAACATTTTATCCTGTATAATTTCAATTCTTCTTCTGGGAGAAGCCATGGCATAAGGTCAGCCTACAGGATCACAGTCACATATTATACATATTTTGCATGTGTTGCTTTTCTGGCTTTTACCAATGTTCCTTTTTTGTTCTTGTTGTTCTGTTTTGTTGGTTTTTTTTTTGGGAGGGGGGGTGTTTGTTGGAATTATGTCTTTTTTGTCACAATTATAAATTTTTTAAAAGGAAATGATTCTTATTTTGCCCTAACAAAAAGGCATGGATTAGCCAAACATGGGAGGGAGCAGAGATAATCTAAACTAATTTTATGTGCTGAATGCAGAAAATAATAACTGGGTATTGTGAACAGGTATGGTACAGTGAAACTCTCCTCTGGTATCCTCGTTACCCATTTTTCTGATTGGCCTTGGGCTCATACATTTAAAATCCTTACTAAAAAATGAAAAAGTAGCTTCAGAATTGGAATTTAAAAAATGAAAGCATGTTCTGCCCCGAGTGAATATTCGTGTCAGTAGTGAGTGAGGGCAGAGCAGGGAGCGCTGTAGGAGCGGAGGCGCACCCTGAGTCACTGGCACATCCCTGTCTGGGAGCCCTGCTGTGATTCACGTTTGCCAGCTCACTAAGTGCTGAATTTGGCGCTTGGTTATGCTCATTTGTTTGTTCACACCCTGTCAGAAAACTAGACTGTGCCCCAGTATAGATTTCTGACTTGATCCAAAGGCTGTAAGGAAGGGGCTGGGGGAAGCAGCCCCCGAAGGCGCCCGTGGCACACCCCAAGGTCCCGGTGTCACATGCAGCAGCAGGCTGCTGCCAATGCAATGGGTTAGCAGGGAGGCTTGAGGTGATTTCGGGACAGGTTACTGTCTGTGCCTGCTCTCTGCCTCGGTGTGCTGCTTCCTTCAGCCACTGCCATCGCCCCAGGCTCCCTGCAGGGCTTGCTCTGCTCTCCATGGGCATTTCCTGCCACTGGTTCCCCTCAAGCATTGGGGAAATGCAGCTTTTGTTGAGACCAGTTTATGGCCTCACCATACTAATGGCTGTAATCAAACAGCCAAACAAGTCCCTGTTAATTGATAAATGAATATCCAGGCAAGACCACCAGAGGATCAGGAGAGTTCTCAGACGTGGAGGGAGCTGAGGCTGCACCATGAACTGCAGCCGCTGGCACTGACCTCAGCACTGGAGAGCATTTGGAAGGAGTGGGAAGCAGGATGTAGGGAAATCCAGGCTTACAAAAAGCAATTTTTTTGTTACATAATCTGACTGTTACCTCATATCAGTTGAGAAAATCTGTGATGTTATTACAGAAGTTTAAAGCTCCTTCAAATGCTCCTGCAGCTTATCCCAGCTCCAATCTGAGTATGCTTTTTGCAGATTTCACTCACTGTTTGCTTGTTGTCAGGTTTTAAATCTTTCTATATATGGTTTTGCTTCAGTCTGTTTCAAAAGCAAGGTAGAAAGGATTGCATGTTCTTCTGGCTCATTTTCAAAGCATTTTTTTTTTTTGAGTTCATTAGCGTGGCAAGTGAAGGGTAACTGAAACAATTCAGCATTTTATTTTAGATTTTTAAACCGCTAAACTGCATGAGCAGGCTGCTGGCAAAATTGCTACATGAAGATTTTAATTTCAGCCCTGGTGTCAAAAGTTGCAAGTGTGTGGGAAGCTTGATTGGGGCATTGCAGCTGAGGCTGCAGGGACCTCTCCAGACCCCGAGGCCAGCCCTGCCCAGGCAGGGTCAGCTACAGCTGGTGACTGTGTGGAACCAGGGTTAAACAGCTCCACAAGCTCCCTGGCCAGCCTCTCAGCAGGGAAGTGATGAGTGCTTTGGAATTACAGGTGTTTCACTCCGTGCCTGCTGTTTTCCCCTGTCACTGGGCACCTCTGGAGGAGCCTGGCTCTGTCCTCTTTGCACCCTCTGCATTTTCAGGTTATTTTCATGTTATCACTTTGCCTGCACTCCATGAGAAGTCACAGCATTGTTCAGTGTATTGCAAAGAAAAAAGTATAATTATTATTTTAGCAAGAAGCAGGGCAAGCATAGCATTGTTCAGAGAGGCAGCTCTCTGAGAACCTTGGACCATGGGGAATGCTGGATTTCTAAACAGAACATCTTTTATAAGCACAAACAAGAAGAATTAATAATCTACACACACAGCCAGTGAAATGCCGTAAGGGTGGAAAAATTATAAGCATTTTCATATCTTTGTATTACAGTGCTGTAGCGCAGAAAACCAGCTGAAAAATGGCTGCAATGCTTGTTCCTTAGAGAAAGGCAGAGTTCTGTTAGTGCTTGACAAATCCATTACAAAAGGAGCTGGCAAGCCAACAAAAAGGAGAATCATTGATCCTGTAGGAAGCAGCGTGGACCAGATGAGCTCACAACTGCTGTGACAGCCGAGGTGGATCGGGCTGGGACAGATGAGTGCCTGCCCAAGGCCAGCTTTGGGGACAAGCTGTCTCCTTAACCAGCACACTGAGGGATGTGTCAGCAGTGGATTTTTGGCACACTGGGCAGGGTGGTCAGTGCCACCCCCTGGAAGTTCCGTTAGGAAGAGTGGCAGGCCCTGCACGAGGGGTGCAGGGAGCATGGCTCTGTCCTGCTGTGCCTGTTCCCACTGAGGAGGGGGTGTCAGGCGTGCAGACCCGCGGGCTGGGGCAGGGGTCCCAGGCTGGGCTGCACATCTGTGCTGACAGAGGTGAAGTCCCTGTCCCTGCAGCGAGCCCTGGGGGCCAGCAAGGAGCTGTGACCCTGTGCCAAGGGCTGCAGGTGGACTCTGCTCTCTGACTCTTGGTCTCCATCCCTTCACAGCTCCTAAGTGCTGAAGGGAGATGTGAATTACTGAGATGGTTTTAGCAACTTTGCCTAAAACCTTTCCATATGTGATTTCATTGCATATTGTGCTATCAGTTGGGAACTGCACACGAACATGCAGAAAGGTGGTGCTTGCTAAATGGTTGAGTTGTTGATAAGATTATAAAACTTACTTTGTAAGCAGATTACATGAGTTTCCTTCCCAGTCTCAGCTTGGCAGGATCAGTGTTACACAGTCTGCTGCAGGACTGTCTCTTCAACTGTTTCTTCCAGGTTCTACAGTGGAAAGCACAGCAGGAAGAAGCTGCTAAACTAGAAGCTGCTGTAGCTGCCAGAAGAAAAGAAAAGGAAGATGAGAGAGAAAGGCTACAGAGGGAACAGGAAACCATCCGTAGAGCTCAGGATAAAGAGAAAGTATGAGAAACTTTTATATATTTTTGCATATATTAATGTGTACCATTGCTCCTAAAATCTATAGCTGATCACATAGCAGATGTATTCTTGTAACGTATTATGTATTGATGTAGAGATGGGCAAATGGCTAGTCAGGTCTTTCTCCTGTCCATGTAGCTCTAAAGCTGCCTGATCTGACACACCAGTTACGTTACCCTACTGCATTTCTTAGGAAAAAAAGCCTCAGCAAGTCACCGTGTCTCTGTCACAAAAGAAGCACAGAGGCACGGCGGGCTCTGGCTGCACAGGTTTGTGCTTTGAGCAGCATGGCAGCCCCAGGGAGCCGCCAGCGCTGCAGCTGCAATGTGTGCTGCAATGCAGCAGGGCAGCACTGCCTGCAGCTGCAGGGCAGCCCTGGGGACACTGCTCCCAGGAGCTGTGTGCTGGCTCCTTGGGTGGGAAATGGGATGCAGCTGAATAGAAACTCAGAAATGCACTGTAGTGAATGCAATGCTTTAGAAAATCGAGCTGTGTCACAAGTATTTCTGCTGGCCTTTTTGCCTCAGTGATATGGCAGAAATCCCTGTTGTTTCACTGAGATTTTACCTCAGGGACATTTAGTGAGGGTTTGCTGCTTAGGTCACAAGTATCTTTGCTGCTGCTGCTTCTCTTTTTGTTCCAGCCTGTTCTGTGCATTTGCCTTTGTACCCGTGGTGTTTGCAGTGGCAGGTGCTCTGAAAGCACAGGGAAGGAAGAGGTTTAGGGAGCCAGTGCTGACCCAGCCACCACCAGTACTCATTTTACCTGTAAATATTCTGGTTGTGCAAACTTTTCTCTTGCTGTGTGCAATGTCTAGGTAGAGCAGCCCTCTGCCTATGCACAGATGGAATAGCAGCTGTTTGGGGTCAGCAGTCATATGTTTCACTGGAGTATTTTCCATCCTAAATCCTTAAAAGGGCTGATAACATCATACTGCAGCTGCTTTTCTGGGGAATGCAAGCAGAATGGAAGTGGTAGTCTTCAAATTGTGGTGGGAAAATATATTCAAATTAGTGTTCACAGTCTGATTTTACTATTTTGTTATGGGAGCTCCACACCCTCTTGCTCTCCTAGTAAATATTCTGTTAGCTTGTAGTGCTCTAAAATAGAAATTTTATTCTAAAAGGATCAAAATTGGAATCTCTAACTTAATGCTTTTCTTGCTTGCTTTGTTCTCACTGTCTGGGCTTTGTTTGCTGTATTTGGTCAAACTCTAGCTGAAAAAATACTGGGCTGAGAAAGAGCTCAAGTGGCAAGAACAGGAGGAGAGAGATCTACAACAGCTGGAGGAATTGAGAAAATTAATGGCTGAACAAGCAGCCAAAGACAGAGAAAGGTAAAAAAAATCAAATGTGAATACCTTTAGTATCAATAGAATCTTCTTATAATCTGATTTGCTTTGATCTCCTGACTGTCTTTTTTAGAATAAATTGAGGATAATATATTTTTTCCTTCCTGTTTGGCAAATGCTTCAAACCATCTAGTAAGGTTGCATCCTAGGTGATTGTATCCTAGATGCAATTTATTTCAGTTTGAATTAATTAGTTAACAACCATCAAAATTTCAGACCATTGTAAGCACTAAACTGTCATAAAATGTAGCTGAGTAATAAGACCTTCTATATTTCACTTTGCATAATGATTTATAATCAGGTTTGGTTTGTTTGAGGGGCAGCTGCAAGGAACACATTCAGCACTTAACAGACTCAAAGATATTTATTGTTATCTTAGAGAGTCCTAAATTGCTCATCTAGTTGTAGATGCTCTTCACCTGTTTGATGGGATTTAGGACTTGAGCCTGCTCAGGCTTGAATTGCCAAGTCTTTGTTGCACAATATGACGTTTCACAATCTGGATTTCGTGGAGGAATCCCTCTGTCAGAGGAACATAGCCCCTGTGTGTATTCTGGTTAGACCTGCTCTCAAAGCACAGGCTGACTCTTTTTACATAGAGAAGCCACCAAGTTGTGTGGACCAAAAGTGCAATTAAAATAGGATTAAAGTGCCATTGGCATTAGGATATTAAAGTTGGTCTCAAGGATTCTGTGGGAAACACTACTTGAGTATTACTTTGTTAGGACACCTTTCTGACAATTTAAATGTCTGTGTCCTTATGCTACAAATATATCTCTACCTTTCCTTAGACATGCCTGCAGTGGTTTTGGCTCATAGGAGGAGGAACACTTGTATTTGAATTACTGGGAGGAAATAATCACCCCTTCAGGCTATTGTGAGTCAGAAGTCAGTAAACGTTGTGCATTCTGTCACTCAGAACTGACCTGCTGTACAAAATGGAACATTTCACTGTCCAGGCTCAGGTGCACACGTGGCATTGTCACTGCCAGTGCAGCCCTGAAAAACTGACAGTGTCCTGCTATGTGCCACCTGCCAGAGCACAGACACTGGGTCTGAGTCTTTGCAGAGCACTCCTGAGTCATGGCACAGGCTGGTACCACAGCTGTGATCCAACACATTTTCAGGGTCTTTTGGAAAAGGAAAAAATGAGCTGAGTGACTATTCCAAGTACAGGAGATGGCCTGGATAGTGCATAGAGTTTCTAACAGGTACAATAAAGTATTTTAAAAAAACCTCTGCTATTATCCTGAATTGCTTTTAATCAAACTAAATTAATTTAAAATTAACTAATTGGGTTTGTTTATGAAAAAGAAACCTGTTATCACAGAGTCATGATGGTGTTCTGTTTATTCAGGTCTTAGTTTGTAATGACAATAGCCAGGGCTCTGACCGGATCAAAGTAAGGGATTAAAGGCACCTGAAACTGGATGTAGATTTTCAAGTGATTGAGTCTAAATTTGCATTATACAACTCCTGTCTGAGAGTGGAGACATTTAACTGATTGGGCATTTTGTTTTTTGGCTGTGGATGTTCCTAGGTAGTGCAGCTCTTTGCTGTCTCCAGGCTGTGTTAACCTACACGTGCCTCAGCCCCGTGGCTGAAACTTTGTGTAAGATCCCATAGATGCTGAGCAAATGAAATGTGGTGAGAATAGTGAAATCAGCAAGAAATCCTGCTAAGTGATGTTCTCTGCATTCAGAAAGGGGGCGAAGGGTTGTGATTTCTGCTCCAAGCCCTGTATCTATTCGCTATTAATTCTTTTAGCCAAGTAATTTAAATCTAAATTTGTAAAACAATGCTTACAAGAATCACTAGGCAAGATCTGCCCCACTCCTGTCAAATGCCCCCAGATGTAGGCAAAAATCATACTTCTTTTGTGCTTTCTTCTATTCATTTGGTGCTGTCTGCTGATAGTGGTCCAATTCTTAAAACAGGGTGGAGATGCCTTACCTGACTGCTGAATGTTCTTGCTGGTTGTTGTGTTTGCTGATAATGCAGAAATTGCAGATTTAAACTCCTTCAGGCTGAGAACAGAGACTAAAACTGTCTGAACAAGAGCTCTGGTTACTGGTGTGTTGTCATAAAAGGTCTGGGCTGGCCACACTGGAAAAGGAAAGCAGAGAGTTCTGGGTCTCTTTTTCCCTAATAAAAGCCAAAGGTTTAGTGGCTGACAGCCTGAGAGACACGTGCTCCAGAAGGGGCTCTGCTGGCTGGCACTCGGGGAGCTCAGCCCTGTGCTCCTGCCGTGGCTGTGGGACTCGGGGTAAGGAGCTAGTGTGCCCGTGGAAGGTGGAGTGTGGGGCAGGAGGGGCCTCTGGGCAGGGTCACACTCAGCTCTGCTGAATGCCCTCACTCCACGTGTCTGTGCTTCAGAACACTAAATTATAGGCTCTCTTTTCATGTGGTATCAACAGCTACCAACTGCATTTAAGTCTTGCTGGTTTAACATCCAAAGAGGCAAGTGTTTGTTGCTACCAGTCCCCTTCTCCTTTTTCATCTGTGCAGTGAATTTTAGTCAGGTTCTCCATCAGGTCCCTGAAGTAGGAAATGGTTTGAAAATACATCATGTTCTAAAAGAATGTTCACCCAAAAGCAATAGATTTGGCATTGCTTTTGCAGGGTGAAAATAGGATTGGCATGGAATTGTGCAAATATTTGCCCAGACAACCTTTGGGAAATGGGCTGGCACAGTGCTGCTCTCCAGGGAGGCAGTGAGTGGGAAACACCTGCCGTGTTCTACCCCAGCACCAGAACTGCTGCCAGCCTGGCCCCAGATTCCAAGGGAAGGCGAGGATTGCTGTGTGCCAGGATTTGATGGGATTGACCCACAGGAACAGGGTGATGGCCACTGTTGGCCATGGGGTTCTGCTCTGCAGGGCTGGGGTGTGGGCCCTGCATCTCCCCCGTGCCCTCAGAGCACCTCCCTCACCCCACGTCAGGGCTCTCACACACTCCCCTGAAACTCTCCTGGGCTCTCCAGACACAGTAGTTCATTATTCCCTGTTGAATATTTATGAAACAGTGTCTGAAAGCAGTTCTAATGAAAATATGCTTATCAAAAATTACACAATTATGTACCTATAATGCTACAAAACGTACCTTGTACTGAAACTAATCAGTTATGCTCATTTATCAGCTGGTGATTTATTAAAATTTTACTTACTATGATGCTTAAAAGCAAAATTAAGTATTAAGATATTTTGATCTTGAGGTTTTTCATAAAATTAACTTTATGTAGAAGAAATAGTAGCTAAAATGTTGCTAAGTGTAATAGAGTGAAAGAGAATGAACAACTTTATTTAGGTGTGGACAGGGTGAAATCAAAGCTTGAGTAAACACTGAAGCCAAGTGTAAAACAGTATTGGAAGGGCATTCCAAGTTAGGAACATGATGTGCAGTTGGGGATGTATTTCCCAGGTGTCTGCCTTCCCTGGGTGTGGATTTCATGGCTGTGCCATTGCCTGCTGACAGTGGCACTCCATTTTTGTTGATGCTGCTGTGCTCTCTGCAGCTGTGGAGGATGGCAGCACAGCCACGAGGGCAGGACCCTCGCCGTGCCCGCTGTGCCCGCTCCCTGGCTGCTCCCTGGCTGCTCCCTGGCTGCTCCCTGGCTGCAGTCAGTCGGGATCACCTGCACTGGATCAAACTGGGCACGGAAAGGCCTCAGGATGCTTCAGTGCAGCACTGCTTTGGATTCCCCCGGGCAGGAAAACTGCCGGGGGCACACAAAGTGTTTGAGTTAGGCCTGGCCAAGTGTCCCCCAGTCTTCCTTCTTGGCTTTGCACAGAATCTTCCAGAGTATTTAATTTCATGTTCTGGAGTATTTTAAAACACGTATCACAATAGCTCAAGCAGAGTGAAAGGATTTCAGTATAATTTTTGTCATTTTTCAAAAAAATGAAGGTCTGCTTTTTTTAAATGTTCTCCATATAAAAAGCAGATTAGGCTTTTTCCCTGGTACAGAACGACCCCTGAGCACTGCTGCTGTAGCATTTCTCTGCCTAAACGACACTGGACACCATGAGAAAGTGGAAACCTCTGTGGGATACCCTTGTACCACACTCTTGGGCTAAACCTGTTTGTCCTGCTAATTGTGACTGGGTTAATGACAGAGGTCTTCACTAGCCACCAGCAGAACTGTAGGTTTAGTTCTGATTGTTGCAGCTTGTAGCACAAGTTTTATACTCCTTTGAGCTTACTAAAATTTGGAGAGTAAGAAAATAACAATGCATGTTTTATTGTAGTTCAAGCAGCTATCTCGTCTCAATTTCTCTAAAGGCAAGTTCAAATTTGAAGGGCAAAAGGAGGTTAGTTCTCCAAATTCAAAGCATGGCATTGGCAACTCCTGTAGAAAGACTAAAAATGACATCCCAAAAAATATCTATAGCTCCATAAGGAACAGACTCTGCACAATAGTCTAAAAATGCCTGCAGTGGAAGTTGGAGCAGCACAGTAGTGCCGTGGGTGAAGTTCTGGAGTTACTGGTGTGAACCTCCAGCTTTTTCCTTTGAAAGAAGGGCATAAGTCTTCGGTTTTTTTTTCTTTTTCCAGTGACAAGACTGGGAGTGAGGTGTTTCTTTTAATGGAAAGGGTTATAGGAAAGATTTCTTCTGCCATACACAGATGTGAGAGAACATTTCTTCTTGGCAAAGAAAATGAGGGAGAAAAAAAGAGTACCAGGGCTATATAAAGCATGCTAGAGAAAATCTGTGGTCTAGACATGGAATTTGCAAGGTTAGCCAAGTTGTTTAAAAGAACAACTGCCCAACCAAAGCCCACCAAGAAACAAATCAAAAAGCACAACTCCCCCAAACTCCCCTTCCCCAAAAAACCCAAACCGAGGCACTCCAACAAAAAGGGCGCATTGGAATGAAGAAGCACCTTTGTGTTTCTGAGGTGCTCTGATGAGCCACCACGGCCTCATAAGGTGGGTCAGGCGGTTTGGGAAGCGAAGCGGCGAGCGGCCGTGCCACTGCCCGGCGTTTCCCTTGCCCGGCAGGGTGCGGTTCCGACGCGCCTTGCTGGAGAAGCGGCTGCTGCAGAAGAAGGAGCTGGCGCTGCGGCAGGCCCGGCAGGAGGAGGAGAAGGAGAAGCGCCTGGAAGCGCTCCGGCAGCAGGTGGGCTGGTGGGGTCCCGCACTGCCCGACAGCGCCTGCCAGGGCAGGCGGGACACAGGAACAATCTCTCAAAAGCGCATAAAGGAACAGGGCAAAAGGCGCTTTAGTCTGACCAACAGTAATTCGCTCCTGTCATAAATCCTGTGTCCTTTGCAGCGCTGACAACAGGAACGTTATGACATTAAATTGTACTGTAGCAGCTGCTGATACCTGAGAGGAGATAGAGACGTTTTTTCCGGGTTGGATGTGATTTTTCTTCTGTGATTTTTTCTGGGTTTTGTTTGTTTTAATAACCTTAAGTCTGCCTTGAGTCTAAGGCAAGATTTTTGAGTAATTTATATTCTTTATAAATTCTGAAAAGTAGCACACCTTGGATGACTTTTCTTCAGAGATATTTGAGTCTCTGAAACTTTTGCACATTACTTTTCAAAAGACACCCATAAAATGCTTACTAGTGCTTTCAATGTCATAGTAAAAGTAGTGCTAGGGGTATTTTTTTTATACTGCCGACTTTTGAAAGAGTAATTTCATCTTAATTTACATTTTTGTTTGTATTCTCCTTGTTTTTTCCTCCAAAGAGGCTGGCTGGTAGTGATGATCTGTTGAGCTCTTCCCACTGAGTCAATTCTCTTGCCAGAGTAGAAAATGCTTCTAGAAGGGCCTTTGCCTGGGATGCTGATGCTCCCACTTCATTATACTTCTCTGATCAACATTCTTTGTTTCACACTAACGAAATGCTGCTTCATAAAGTATCTACAATGTTTATATGGGATGGGTGGGGGGAAGATCTTTACTAAAGTAATTTGGCCTGTAGATTTGGGCAGTCTGTAAATACAAAGGTGATATTTTATTAAAGAGATGGATGAAAAATTATCATACACAATTTAAAGTATTTTTTTCTGGTTTTAGCCATTCTTCACATGGGCTTCTGACTTTAGCTGTTTTGCTCATGCATCTTTCTGTATTTTTCCAAAGTAGTATTAGCCTGTATCTGAATATTTTAACACAAAGAAAGTAAATAATGAAAAAGATTAACTCTGGCACAATACAGTGTCTGGGAGTCTGATATTGATCTAGCCACAGGAAATTACACAGTTAAAGCAGATGCACTTCAGAAAAAAACAGAGTTGTATTATTTGGAGAATATAACTCAATGCTGTTTCCTGTGATTCTGTAAAATTGTGAATTATCACCCTGAACACCTTTGTTTCCATTGAAAGAAAAAGAAGACAGTCTGGACTTCCAGGAATTGTGGGTATTGCAGAATTTTGAGGCTGCTGGATCCTTGCAGAGACTGGGTGGGACACTGGAGCTCATGTCAGTGTCTGTTGGAGAGCTCAGGGTGCAGTTGCTTCTCTCTCCCTCCCCCTTGTTGTGCCCAGGCTGTCTCTGCAGCTGGGACCCTGCACTGCTGCTCCAGGGTCCCTGCAAAGACAGTGACCAGTGGTGTTCTCAAAGGGTGTGCTCCTGAGAGTGACCTGCCCTCGCCTCAGCCCTGCACAGACACAGCAATTGTGACTTTCGTTCTGTGTCTTTAGGTTGCCGTTGTTGCAAAACTGGATCCAGCCAGAGCAGTGGCTGACACGGTGGCGTCAAAAGCTCGGATGGGCATTGGAGCCAACGACGAGTTTGAGCTGCAGCAGCCCCTGTTCAGGCTGCACACCTACAGGGAAGAGCAGGTAAGGGGCTGTAATCATGCTGAGTAAACAAATCAGGAACTGAACTGGCTCTACTCGTGTTTCAGGGCACTCAGGTTGCTGAGGAGGCTGCTCCCTCCATTTCAAATGCACTCAAGGAACTTGATATCTTTAAATTCCCTCACTGTTCCCTATCTGCTCAGTCAATGTATTTTCAATTACTCCCACTCTGGAATTTGAAAATTATTTATGAAAAGAGAAGAGTTATGGTACAATTCTGTGGTATAAAAGCTTTCTTTTGACACTGAATAAGATGAAATTTAACACTGTCTATAGCTAAAGTTGTCCAGCACAGCCCATTTTAAGACATTTTAAAGCTTCTCAGTTTGGTAATGGAAAGATGTAGGTTTTGTTTGGTTATTAAAATTCCCCAAATCTGACAAATGTACAAGGTCCTGACAAATCTTAAAGATGATTTGAACATGTATTTTTGGTTCCTATGTCTAAATTCTCAGCATGCTTTTTCTGTTTCAGCTCCAGACAGGTTTGGTGCTGCTCGGGCTGCAGTATGTGATTCCCACCCAGCACATCCCATGCTCCTTCCCAGTGCTGCAGGGGCTGTGGATCATGCTCCCAGTGCTGGTGTCCAGCAGCTCTGGACACTGGGGAGGGGATGCTGGAACTGGAAGCAACGTGTTGCTCTTCCTTGTACTCCCAGTGCAGTCCCACTGCAGACCATGGAGCAGGGATTTGAAAGAGGCTTACAAATTTTATCAGATAAACTTCTGACAAATTCCAGAAGTAATTTCCCTCAGATTATCGTTCTGACAAATGGAAGTGGCACTGCCATGTAAACACAAGGTGACACTGAGAAAAATCAAAAAGGCATTTGAGGCACTCGGATTCTGTAGGAACAGCCAGGAGGAGATTGGAGTCTGTGCTGCACTTGGGGAAGGCAGCAGCTCCTCAGGGAGCTTTTTGGCTTCTATTGATCATTGCTGTGGTTTTTTAACAGGTCATTTCTGACCCCAGGCTCCGTGTCGAGCTCGCTCTCCGAGAAGCTGGACTGCATAAAACACTTTATGCAAGAGAGGTTTTGTCAAAACTTCCTCCACTGAAGCTTCCAAGAAGAGACATGGAATCGACAGCTTTTAAAATGTAGAGCACATCTCATCTGAGGGGCAGAGCAGCACCAGGGCTCTGGTCTGGCCCACGATATGCAAACCTTAAATTCCCTGTGGCTGTCCTGGAACTGCTCTGTTCGCTGTGCGTGCAGCGAGCACTCCAAGCCTTTCTGAGCTGGGCTGCAGCAGGTTACACCGGGCCGGGCGGGTCTGCAGAGGCTGGGCTGTGTGCTCCTGGGCTCCTGCAGTGGGATTGCCCTTGTCCCTTTCCACTGCGAGCTGCGACGCCTTGCTTAAGGGCTCCTGCACACAGCCCAGCCAGTCTGACGTGCAGCACCTTGAGTAGGAATTCTTGGGATTTAATTGGCAGCAGAAGTCCAAAACAGCTTTACACAGCAGTTACTTTAGATTTTATTATGTTACATGAATAAATCCCACCATTTTCTTTCAAGCTTTCTTGAGAATTTGATTCTTTTAGTTATAAAATCTTCATTGCCATGAATGTTTCTAATATTCCTTGATTATGATGAAACTTAAACCTTTGTCTGTATTTAGAAGGCAACTGGCTGTATCGTATTTTCTGCAAACCATTCATTCAATTTCATATTGCAGATTGGTTTTTCAGTATAAATTATAAATAGAGCTGGGATCTTTGTTTCTTTATTTTCTGGTGTGACAGACTCCTGAGAGTGAGCACAGGGTAGCCCAGGAGCAGCATAATCCGTGTTGCAGCTGAGTTTAGTGGGGAAATGCTGCAGAGCCTGCCCTGAGCTGGGGGAGTGATGTCTTCTGGACTCAGCCTTGGTGTGCTTGTGCTGAAATTACAACTCTGTGTATATTTGTGCTTTTTATTTTGGTATCTCCTTTGGGGTAACTCATTATTTTTAAAACACACTTGGCCACCTCACAGCTGACTATTCCTGTGGGGATATTCCCTGGATATTCCCGTGGAGACCAGCAGTGCTGTGCTGTGGGGAACAGACTGGCTGCGAGACAATTCCCAGAAAGGCATCATCCCAAACCTAGGCAGCTGATTTTTTTTCCCCTTGCCTTTAAAAGCAGATCTACAAGATAAAAAAATTTGCACCACTGAAATTGAGATTATAGTTGTCATGTTTTATAAATACCAAGATGTTAATGAAAAAGGAAGTTTAAAGGGAACAGACATTGGTTTTGAAATAGTGGGCACAGATTTTTAGGCTGAGACTTGTGGTTGTTTTCATGTCTGTGATTTCTCAAGGTAGAGACTGAGTAGAAGTCTATAGAAGTCTGGGCTACCTCAGTGCAACAATAAGACAAGGCCTTTAGTGATACAGTGAGGCCAGAATGAGGATTTTGGGGGGGGTTACATAACAGTGGAGCATGGAGGACTTGCAGGTCAGTAAAGGGTATTTCATACAGCACTACCAAGGCTGCTCATGCCAGGAGAGCTCTGCAGACCCCTTGGCTGCTCCCCAGCCTGGCCAGACTCCTCTTTCCTGCTCCTGTGGGAAGGAGGTGGATGTTTCACACTACTCATAATCCTCACCTTAGAATTGGTCACAACTGATCAGGACCCTTCAGGAAATGGAGATGCTTGTAATGGCATTGGGTTTCATGATAAATCTTTCTACACTTAAACAAAGAGAAATCTTCCAAGTTACACATATAAAAATAGTAATTTAAAAAATGTTAATGATAAATGGGCATCTCAACCTGCACCTCTTGCAGCCCTGCTTTGTGGGTTTGGCTGGGTAGGAGTGGCAGTTCAGAGCTCCGCTGTCTTTATGCCAGGAAGGAAGCAAGGGCAGGTCACTCTCAATCAAACTTATAAAGCTTGATGAGAATTTCTTGTGAAAATTAAGTTACTTGGTTTCAAGTTACACTATTTGTTTGTGAATTTTGGTAGTGAGAAAAGTGTCTTTAACGTCAACCAGTGCCTGAAGGTCAGGTCCTCAGCTGTCCCTCTTGTACTCAAACTCTGGCACGTGCCTCTTTGTGACAGCTTTAAACACTGTAGGAATGACAATCTGAACGGCCTTTGTAACAGCAGTAACAATAACGATCACAAAAATGGATTCATTTTCATGTTATTTACTTAGGTTTTGTCTTTATGCCCAAAGGAAAGGGCTTTCCTTCCCGGAAGACCGCTGTGGACAGGAGTGACCCTAACAGGACAGTCCTGTACGGCGGCTGGAGCCGGGAGTGAGGAACTGCAGCTCCGTCCCACAGCCTGAGCTTGCTGTCAGCGCAGATCGTGCCGCGCGGTTCCAGCCGCGCCGCGGGCCGGCAGCTCCGCACCGCGGTGTCCGCTGGCTCCGGCAGCCCGGGCGCGGCGCTCTCCCGTTCCCGGAGCAGGTCCTGGGCCGGGCCGGGCCCGCACCCGCTCCCGGCGCGGCTCCCAGCGGTGCTGCGGTCACCTCAGTCCGTGCGGGGGAGTCCCAGGCGCTTGCGGATGAAGGCGGCGATCAGGCGCTGCGGCCGCTGCTGGTACTCCCACAGCACCTCGTGGGGCGCCCGGATCTGGTCCCCCTGCAGCCGGTCCAGGAGCGCCACGCACACCACGGCGGCTGCGGAGGACGGAGGGCGGTCACCGGGCGGCCCTCTCCTGCCCGGCCCTCAGGGTCCCTCCTGCCCGGCCCTCACGGCCCCTCCCGGCCGGCCCTCACGGCCCCTCCTGCCCGGCCCTCACGGCCCCTCACGGCCGCCGCCGGGAGCCGCGGCCCCGCTGCCCCGCAAGCCCTCAGGGGCTGCGGCAGCACGGCCGGGACGTGCGGAACGGCCAGGAGGGGCGTGAGGGCAGCAAGCTGTTGGTTTGTCCAGCCCGCACTCAGGTCTCCTAGTGCACACTTGGGTTTTATTGAACGATGAAATTTGCTTTAGTGTCCTTTTCTAGATGAAATCATTAAGGATGTGTGTTTGGCCCTGTGACACAGAGCAGGACCCTCAGAGGGGTTTAGCCCGTGTGTGGGGAGGAGGTGGAAGCGACAGGACTCACCTTTGAGGCCACACAGTCCACACAGGGCAGCGAATGCAGTAGACTCCATCTCAATATTCCTCACACCGGCCTCATAAGCCCTCCTTAAGTACTCCAGCTTTTTTTCACTGGAAAAAGAGCACAGTGCGCCATCTAATCTCCCCTGACCTGGAAAGGAAGCAGAGAACTGTCACTGTTGGCCTTGCATGGCGTCATGGAGCATTGGTGCAGAAGGGAGGTCCAGCAGTGCCCACATTCTATCTGAGGCCCACAAAGTTTTCCTGTGAGCAGCTGATTAATTCGTATTCCCCTCAGTGTTAAAGCCAGCGAGATGTGTCTCTGTGTAGGGGAAAGAATGACGCAGGTTTCAGCACTGGGGAAAGGTCGAGTCAGCCCTCAGGTGAGAGGTACCAGCGGATGCTGTGCTCTGCGGGACAGGCCATTGCTGCACAGCAGCTGTGAAGGTCTGCCAGGTTAAATCCCAAAAATGCCAACTGACTCAGAAGAGGTACAACAAGCCGTGCAGAATGGGAACACTGAGGAGAGGAAACCCCTTTAATGTGGTTTTACTTTTTCTGCAGAGGCTGTTGTGGATGGAAGCTGGAGCTGCTTGCAGAGACATTCCGGGTGTGGTCAGGGAGCTGGTCCCAGGGCACTGGTGCTGCTGCAGGCAGGACTAACACTGTGTTCAGTGAGGGCAGCCATCCCAGCCCTCTCCTCTAACTCTCCGGGGGCTCTGGCTGTCCTGCTGTGTGCTCAGAGCAGACCTGTGCCCCGTGCAGCTCCTCCTCTCGCAGTGTCTGAAGGCCCCGGGGCAGGCAAATGCTTACCTTTGGCTGGCCAGCCTGGACCGCCCTTCAGTTTATTGCTGCTCCTACTTTAATCCTCTCAAATGGCTTTTTGTTTAAATAAAATATGGACTTGAGACATACACAGATGGCTGCATCTGCAAGCAGATCTAAAGCTTTATAAATAGTGCTCAGATTATTAATTCTTCATTTATTACGTTTCATCTACTCTGCAATCAGCATTTAATTTTGCAAAGGAAATGGTTCCAGAGTAACCAAAGTTTGTTTATGGAAATCTCACAGGCAACCTAATGTTTTCCTAGTGTTTGGTTGTTCTGAAGTGACGATCTTGCTGTAGGGGAACAGCTTGGTGGCCAACTCAGCAAGGTGCAAGCAGTGGTGCTGTGTGTTCTGAGGGTGCCTCCTGCTCTGCCTGGGCCCCCCAGCACCACATGGGTCTCTGCCTGCAGCCCTTCTGGGGCCTGGGTTCCCTGCATAGCTTTGTCCATGGAAGAGTAGAAAGACTTGGCATTATGTGTGGTGAAGAAGGACAGACAAAGCTGGTTTTACCTTCGTAGAAGTCGTAGGTGCACATGGTATGGCCAATGAGCGTGGGGAAGTCGGGAATGTCCCTGCTGCAGGCGAGAAGTTCCTCTGCAAGGTCCTTGTCCAGCTCAGTGCTCCGCACCACCACATCATCCAGCACCACCTGCTCAAAGCGTGGCTGGAAGGAGGAGTCCACGGCCGTGTCCGTGATCACAACAGACCCAGCCTCGATCCCTGTGGAAATGGAAGCTGAGGTTGCCAGAGCTCATAACACCTGTGTCCTGCTGCCAAACCTCAGCACAACAGGAAAATCTCAATAGATCTATGTGTGCTTGCAGGGCTCTTCTTTTCAGCGTGTGAAGAAGATGTCAGAGAATAATTTAAATTCATGAAGTAGCATGGATGTACAAGTAAAATGTACGGAATCAGCACAAGATAAGTGATTGTGAGAATGTGCTGAGTGACAGGAGTTTAGCTGTTTCTGGCTTGCAGAGATCGTGTACCCCCCTACCTGCAGGGACGGGCAGCACCACTGCCTCAGCCAGGAGTTGGGTCACCACTAATCCATGTTTTCTGTTTGGAAAGTGACACATGGCTGTGGTGGGATCGAGGCCTTTGTACACTCTGAGGATGTGCACTCTGCCAAGCCAGTCGCTACAAGTTTTCTGGGTTTGACCCATAACAAAATACCATGTTTGATATTTAGAGACCTGAAAAAATGCTAAAGTTCAGAGCTGCATGACCTATTGCTGAGAGTTCTTTTTAATAATAGCTGTTTTGCTCTGAAGAAACACCATGAATGGCTTACCTAAGCCCCCAGAAGTACCGATGCGTATAATAGTAACATCCCGGCATTTTGCATGGTGCAGCAGTTTGATCAGCTCATGAAGCATAATGGAAATGGAAGGGATGCCCATTCCATGCTGTTGGAAGGAGAGAAAAGAGAAACATCAGTCCCCACAAGGCTGTGGCAGGTGACAGGTACGTGACTGCAACAAGCTCAGGGCTACGCTGTGGCCTCTTCTGCTGGTGATGCCAACAGCAATTTTTTTGAGGGCAAAGAGAGATCTGGGGGTCTTTTTAGTCTGTCCAGGTGAGATGTCTAACATCTTCTCCTCCTCTCGATGCTTTAAAGGTTCTTCAGGTTA